CAGGCACTTTCTTGTGACTAGCTGCCCCCCTTTGTTTGTGGAGCCCTCCCTCTGCCTTTACTAGTCCTGGAAAGGGTGCTTGGGGGTCGCTGGCCTCCCACAGCCATGCAGTCTAGTTTACACTTTCACCTTGTTTGTGGAGCCCTCCCTCTGCCTTTACTCAGTTCCCAAAAGGGTACTGGTGGCGGGGGAGGGGTTGCTGGTTTCCACAGCCTTGCCGGCTGGCCCATACTTTTCTAGAACTGGCTGAGATTTAATCTTTAAATAGAAAAGTAAAGGAACTGAGGGAGGTTCCTGAAGATCAATGGAAGAACTAAAAAATTCTGGAAAAAGTAAGATAAGATGGAAGAATGATAGACACAGATATAAAAAGATACAGATATAAAAAGAAACAAAAAAGAAAGAGGGACACTCCAAGAAAGGGAAAAAGAAAGAACAAACATGCCAAGAATAATCTGACACCACGAGGAAAGGAAATATAAGAGTTATAGGAATCCCAGAAGGAGAAGAGAGAGATGAAGGAACTGAGAAATTATTCAAGGAAATAATTGATGAGAACTTCCAAAACATGAAGAAGGAAATGAAAATAGACCTACAGGAAACTAGAAGAATACCAACTACCATTATGAAAACTACAGCATGACACATAATAGTAAAGTTACCAAGAGTCTAAGACAAAGAAAAAACAATGGAGCTGATGAGGGGAAAGAAACAGGTAACCAATAAAGGAAAACCAATCAGGCTAACATCAGACTTCTCTGTAGAAACACTATGGACAAGAAGAGAATGGAGCAACATATTCAAAAAACTCCAAGACAGAAAATGCCAGTCAAGAATACTTTATTCCGCGAAGTTCTCTTTCCTTTATGAGGGAAAATAAAGGAACTTCTCAAACAAAATTTTCAGAAATTCATTGCTCCTAACCCCCACTCCAAGAAATATTACAAGAAGTCTTAAAATCTAAACCAACAGAGGAATGAACAGGAAGAACAGAACAAGGTAGTGAACAGAACCACAAAATGATCACCAAAATGGCAATAACAGACTTTAATATATCAATAATTACTCTAAATGTTAATGGACTAAGCTCACCAATAAAAAGACATGGAGTAGCATACTGGATTAAAAAACAGAATCCAGGGCCTCCCCTGGTGGCGCAGTGGTTAAGCGCTGGGCTGCAAAGCTGCCCGCAGCCTCTGCAGTGCCAGTTTGATCCCTGGCTGCCACTGAGGGTCCCATATGGTGCGACAGACCTCCCCTGCTGCGCCCACTGCTCCCCTCAGCAGTGGATTTCATTGGTCTGCCTGTTCTGTTCCCCACTCTGGCTCTGGTGAATTCTCTCACCCTCCCACGCTTCTGACTGTACCCAGTGCTTGTATAAATTAAAAAAAAATATTAAAAACAAAAACAAAAACACAGAATCCAACCTTCTCCTGCCTCCAGGAACACACTTAAGCTCTAAAAATAAGCATAGATTGAAAGTAAAGGGTTAGAAAACAATTTTACAAACAAATGACCCCCAAAGGAAGGCACGGGCAGCCAAATTTAGTGGAGATAGAATAGACTTCAAATAAAAAAGGTGAAAAGAGGGGCCTCCCTGGTGGCACAGGCGGTTGAACACAGCGCTGTGAAGCTGTCCACAGCCTCTGCAGCGTGGTTCCATCCCGGCCAGCTGGTGAGAATCCCACATGGTGCAGCAGACCTCTTCTGTCTCGCCCGCTGCTCCCTTCACCAGTGTATCTTACTCAGTGTGCCTGTTCTGTTCCCTGCTCTGTCTCTGGTGAATCCTCTCACCCTCCCGCGCATCTGACCTATATCCTAGTTCTTGTATGTATGAATAAATAAATCTTTAAAAAAATAAATTATAACAGACACAGTAGAAATCCACAGAATAATTAGAGATTATTATGAACATTTATATGCAAACAAGTTCAATAATCTAGATGAGATGGACAAATTCCTAAGATTACACAATCACCCAAAACTGAACAAAGAAGATATAAGAAACCTAAAGCAATTACAAGTAGTGAAACACTAATCAAAACCCTCCCAAAAAACAAAAGCCCAGGACCAGATGGTTTCACAAATGAGTTCTACCCAACATTCAAAGATAAACTGTTACCAATCCTACAAAAACTCTTTTTAAAAAATCAAGAAGAAAAACTACCAAATTCATTTTATGAGGTGTACATTACACTAATACCAAAACCAAACAAAGACAACACAAAAAAGAAAACTACAGACCAATCTCCTTAATGAACACAGATGCAAAAATCCTTAACAAAATCTTAGCAAACTGAATCCATCAACGCATAAGATGGATTATATATCACAACCAAGTGAGAGTTATCCTAGGGACACAAGGATGGCTCAACATCCAAAAAATCAATCATTGTAATTCACCACATCAACAAAAAGAAAAATAAAAACCATACGATCATATTAATAGATGCTGAAAAAGCATTTGATAAAGCCCAACATCCATTTATGATAAAGGTCGTTAAAATTCTTGGAATACAAGGGACAACATTTTTGGAATAGAAGGGAGCCATTAGTAATCTTAACATAATAAAAGCCATGTATGACAAACCCACAGCTAACATCATTCTGAATGGTGAAAAACTGAAAGCCTTTCCATTAAGATCTGGAGCAAGACAAGGACGTCTACTCTGACCACTGCTTTTCGAGATAGTACTAGAAGTCCTATCTGGGAACTTGGCAAGAGAGAGACATAATAGGAATCCAAGTAGGGAGAAAAGAAATGAAACTGTCATTATATGCAGATGATATGATAATATATAGAGAATTCTAAAAACTCCACAGAAAACTAATTAAAACAATAAGCCATTTTAGTAAAGTGGCAGGTTACAAAATCAAAGCATAAAAATCAGTAGCCTTCCTACATGCAAACAATCTCATGAGGAAGAAATTAAGAAAACCATTCCATTTACAATTGTACCCCCAAAAAATTAAGTACCTGTGACTGAACATAACAAAGGAAGTGAAAGACCTAGACATGTACAAGGAAAACTACAAAACACTGTTAATAGAAACAGAACAAGACACAAAGAAATGGAAAGATATTCCCTAATCATGGGTAGGAAGAATCAACATCATAAAAATGGCCATCTTACCACAAACAATTTACAAATTCAATGCAATTTCAATAAAAATCTCAATGACATTCTTCAGATGAATAGAACACGATGAAATTCATATGGAACCACAAAAAAAAAAAAACCCCAAATAGTGAAAGCTTTCCTGACTAAAAGGGGGAAAATGGAGGCATTACACTCCCATATTTCAAGCAATATTAAAAAGCCATTATAATAAAAGCAGCATGGTATTGGAACAAAAACAGACACACAGACCAATGGAACTGAACTGAAAGCCTAGAAATAAAACCACATGTATATGGTCAACTAATCTGTAACAAGGGAGCAAAGCATTTACACTGGAACAAGGAAAGCCTTTTCAGTAAATAGTGTTGGAAAAACTGGAGTGCAATATAAAAAAAATTAAACTAGACTATCTCACACTATATACAAAAAATCAACTCAAAATGGATAAAAGACTTGAATGTAAGACCTGACACCGTAAAATACATAAGAAAACATAGGCAAAACATCCTATGACCTAAACCTCAGAAACATCTGTGAGGATTCTTCTCCAGAAGCAAGAAAAACAAAGGAAAAAATAAACACCTGGGACTACCTCAAACTAAAAGCTTCTTACAGCAAAAGAGACAATAATCAAGACAAAGAAGCACCCCACAGATTGGGAGACAATAGTTACACACCATAGAACAAAAAAGGGACTGACATCAAAGATCTACAAAGAACCTATACATCTCAACAAAAACAAACAACTTAGTTAACAATGGGCAAAAGAACGAAAAAGACACTTCTCCAAAGAAGAAATACAAATGGTCAACAGGCATATGAAAAAATGTTCAACATCACTAGTTATCAGGGAAATGCAAAGCAAACTACAATGTGATACCGTGTCACTCCAGTAAGAATGGCCCACATGAAAACAAAATAAATAAACAGAAACAACAAATACTGGAGAGAATGTGGAGATACCAGAACCCTCTTACACTGCTGGTGGGAAGGTAAACTGGTGCAGACACTATGGAAAGCTGTGTGGAGATTCCTCAGAACACTAAAGATGGATATACCATATGATCCAGCAACTCCATTCCTAGGAAGCTACCCCAAAGACACAAAAACACTAATTCAAAAGGAAACCTGCATTCCTATAGTCATTGCAGCACTATCTACACTGGCCAAGATATGGAAACAACCCAAATGCCCCCAAATATGAAAACTCACTATCAAGTTTATTCCATATAATGGATGAGATTATTATTACAAAACACCTTGTTCATACTTTAGATTGAAAACAGTCCAATTTTTATTCAGTTCTGTTGGGAATAAGGTGATAAGCTCATTCCATGGAATGGTAACTCAGAGCTGTAAGTGAAGATAAATTATTGGGCTTTTCTTTTACCATATTTTCCCAATGTGGAAACTGAACTCAGAGAGGCTGATTTGTCTATGGTCCTGCAGATGACTAGTAAAGGGCCGAGGACTTGAACTTGAGATTCTGGACTCCACCAAGGTTTTTTTTTTTCTGTTCCCTATTTGCTAATCAACACATTCACGTTCTGGAGGCCTTGCATTCCATGGGGTTTCCCAATCCCGGTTGGGGAGCCTACTCAGCCAGCATCTGTGGAGGCAGATCTAAGTCACTGTGTCAGCTGCACTCCTGTCAGCATTCTGGTCAAAGGACCTTCCGTGTGGAGGGAAGTAGAGGAACATACTGTTTACAGAATGGGACCTTTTCATTAAACGCAAATAATTACCTCCCTACATCTAGAATGCACAGGGTCCTGAATTGAACACTGAATGGAGCCTAAGAAATGGTTTTGTCCTTGAGGATCTGAATGCATAGATTCATTTTTCCTTCCATTCATTCATTCAAAAGTTATCTTTCAGCATCAACTGGAGGAGGACCCTGGGCGCAGCTCTGGGGATACAGCCGTAACCTGGAGCCTGCTCTGACATTGCTGCTAGTCTAGTAGGAGGAGACCAGTAAGTGGGCTACTATACAACAGAATTAAACCCAGAAATGGGAGGGAGCAAGGCACTGTGGGTTCATCATCTACAGTGGGGCTTGAGTGGGGCCTTCATGGGTGAGGTAACAACAAAGTGGGTCCTAAAGACTATGTGTAGGCCATGTGAATGATGGGTGAGGACAGGAGGGGGAATACAGCAGGTGGGAGGGAAGAGTATTCTAAATAGAATGTCCAAGAGAGCATGTGTGCGAGGAGCTGAGAGGACTCTATCAAGCCCAGAGTGTGGCATGCACCAAGATGGTAGTGGAAGAGGGGCGTGGGGGAGAATTGATAAACGTAACTGGAAAGATAGCCAGGGACCAGTAAATGAAGCACATCCAAAGGCCTATTGGAAAAATGGTATTTTATCTTGAGACCAAAAGTATAAAGGGTTTGAAGCATACTTGTATATTAGCAAGAGTTGCTGGCCTTAGGGTAGAGAGTGGATTGGGGGTGTGGGGAGGTCCAGATGCAGGAAGAGGCGATTGAAGTGATGGTGGCCTGAACCAGAAAATGGCTCTGAAAGGAGGAGAGAAGTTGATGATTTGAGTTATATTTGATACAACCAATAGAATTTGGTGACTCTGAAGCAAGAAGTAAGAAGGAGGAAACCAATATTCATGAAGAAAAAATATATAACACAGACAGATGCTAGCAAAGTTACAGAAGAGCTATCTGGATAGAAAATGGGCTAGAAAGATTTTGGAGGGCTTCCTAGAGGATTGGGAATTGGAGCTGGGCCTATATGTGGGTAGGATTTTGGTGAGTAGAGATATGATGCAAGGAAGAGGACTGATGCAAATGGCAGAACAGTGTGTGATCTGCGGAGCAGATGGCTTGGTCATGGTATTTTCTTGGGACAGACACAAAGAGATGGTTCTTCCGAGGGTGCAACCAAAGCTCTTGTGGGAGGGTGTGACTGTGGGGGATGAGGCTCATCATTTTCCCAGAGTGGTACAGAGTTCTTTGAGTACTCCCAGGGCACTTCTGTTGGAATTTCAAGGGGTATGCAGACCACTAGGCAGCCCAGCTAGACCAAAGCCCACAAATCTCAGCTTCCACTGGGAGAAAGAAGTTATTTACAAAAAGGAATGTTCTGTACCACTGGGTCTCCTACAGTGACCCAAGTTCCCATTTGAAAGCTGCTGTGTCAGGGTATTGTTCTATTTTTAGGCTTCTGGAGAGTTCTGCCTGGCAGCCTGCACTGGTGAGTGAGACCTGTGAGCCCATTAGGAGACTGCTTGACCCCAGGCCGTGGAGGACACAGCTGTATAAGTGAGTGGGTGAGGTAGTCCCTATGACCTGGGCTGAGCCTTTTGCTAGATGCCGTGCCCTCCCTGAGCAGTATTCCCCATATATCGGGGTACCGGCCCCAGCCTGCACACTGGTGGCATTCTGGTCTCACCTTCTCTGGCTCAAAATCCAGGAACACTTCATGCCTGTGTGACCTTGAAATAATTAACCTCCTTGCGTTTCCATTTTCTCATTTGTAAAAGAGAATAGTAGTACTTACCCTGTGAGGATAAAATGGATCTTTACTGAGGTGCCTAGAACACCTGGCACAGTCATTACTGTCCCCCCAACTGCCCTGACCAAGGCATGGGATGTGGAGGGAGGACAGGTAGGCTGTGTGACTTTGGACAGTCATTGATTCACCCTCAGTTTCTTCTAGTAGGAAGGTTTCCTTCTGCTTACTCCATGGCACATGGACACTGGTGTTTCCTGCTTTAACCCAACCTCCAGACTCTCATGTTGGCTCCAATCTAAGGACTGGGGCACTGGCGCTGGCAGTGATCTCTAAGGAAATAATCATGGGCTCCAGTCATGGCAGTACCACTGGAAGCACTATTTGTGCCTTGGTGTTATACTGGACTCTTTACTACATTATCTCTAATGCCCACTTCCCATTGCAAAGCATGATTTCCAACTTTACCAAAGAAGAAACTGAGGGCGATTCAATGACTGCCCAAAGTCAAGCAGCCTACCTGTCCTTCCTCCACATCCCATGCCTTGGTCAGGGCAGTTGGGGGGACAGTAATGACTGTGCCAGGTGTTCTAGGCAACTCAGTAAAGATCCATTTTATCCTCACAGGGTAAGTACTACTATTCTTTTTTACAAATGAGAAAATGGAAATGCAAGGAGGTTAATTATTTCAAGGTCACACAGGCATGAAGTGTCAGGATCCAAACCTAAGTTTGCCTGATAATAAATCCTCTTCTCTCCACCTCAAAAGATACCTAAGCTAGGTGGGCACTGAACCTCCTTTCTTGAATCATGCTTCTGCCGTCCAAGCAGGAAAGTGCAGTGAATCAGGGATAGTCACAAAGAGGGCAAGTGCTCAGTCACTTCCTGCCCAGTGCCACCCTGGGACAGCAGCTCTCAAATGGGAACTTGCATCACTGCAGGAGACCCAGTAGCACGGAGCATTCCTTTTTGCAATAACTGTCTTTTTTCCCAGTGGAAGCTGTGATCCTTTTGAGGCTTTTATAGGTGGGAAAACTGAGATCCAGAGATGAAGGAGGTCTTCGCTTAACACCGTGTCACAGTTCCTTCTACCTACTCCACGGCACATGGACACAGTTGCTGGGGTTCAGGCCTATAACCCCAGTTTACATGATGCCTGCATTCTACTCTCTAGCCCCAGCCTCCTGTCCAAAGGCCAAGATTACTAAGCTTTAAATCAGGTTGAATGAGTCATTAAGGGTAAAACAAAGAAGAGAGGGCTTATTCTCTTGCTAGATGAAGTGAACCCACCCACCTTTTTGACTTTTTTGTTCTAAAATGATGACAGTTTGCAATGACTCAGAATTATCACACTCAAAGACACTGTTTTGCATTTTTCTTAAAAATGAGGAGACAATGTGTGAATAAATAGCTGAAAATGGCTCACAAAGGGAGGGGAGGGTGACCTCCAGGCACATGGAAACAGAATGGAGACTGAATGACTATGCAAGAATGGGATGGAACAGCAATTCCCTGGTGGAGAGGAGAGTCGAGTGGAAACAGATGTGGGGACCAAGCAACAGAGCCTTTCAAGGTCACTCAGTGGCAAAACGTGAAGAAGCTACCACTAATCCCCAAGGCCACTTGACTTAAAACCAAACATATTTTGGCCTCCCTGGCTCAAGGGTTTGTATCTCAGCACTATCCACAGCCACTGCAGCACGAGTTCAATCCCTAGCCAGGGAGCTGACCCACATGGCACAGCAGACCTCTCCTGTCTCGCCCGCTGCTCCCCTCAGCAGTGTATTTCAGTTGATCTGCCTGTTCGGCTCCCCACTCTGTCTCTGGTAAATCCTCTTATTCCCCGCCCCCACTTCTGGCCTACACCCCAGCTCTTGTGTGAATAGGTAGACAGACTAAATCTTTAAAAAAAAAAAGTCAAACACATTCACAGTGGGTGAGACTGGAAGACTTTCTGGGTCTAATATCAGAGACCTTTCTACCAAGCAACCTGTCCACAGGCAAATGAGGGCTTGGGAGAGAGCAGAGTCTCTTAGATCTGACCCTCTATACCATGTTCCTCCTGGGGGGAATGAGCTGAAAGCTCTTTATATAGATTATAGATATATCTCTAGAGATATCTATCTACCTACCTACCTACCTATCTAGAGCTTAGATAACCTATAGTTTGCTCTTCAAATATGAAGTAACTGGCCTCTTACCCAGTAACTCACAGTTTGACAATGGCATTGCCCAGGGACTCTGGTTCTTGGTAGTAGGAATTGAAAGGCAAAGAGTAGCTCTTTCTCCAGATTGGATGGTCTAGGATAAAACTCTGAATCTCTCAGACTGTTCTCTCTGAGGAAATAAGGGGGTGATTGCTACCACCTACCTCCTAGGATAGTAGATGGGAGGATGAAGTAAGATAATGCATGACATGAGGGCCACTATTAACTACAAGATGCTGTACAAGTGTTAGTTATTACGTTTAAACATAGAAGTATTAATATATTCTGACTGACTTAACAGAAAACTAGGAATCTGAGGCAATGGAGGCATTCTATTCCTTTGCCTCTGAAAAAATACAAACACATTTATTGGGAGTGAAAAGGTTTCTGCACAACTTTCTTTCCTCTGCAATGAGAAATGCAGTGGGGCTTCCTTCCCCAAGCGCTCAAAGAACCCTGTAGAAAGCTGCTGGGAAAAGTCAACTTCCATTTTGATTGTTACCAAAAGTCATTTTTGGTTCTTTTCTATGAGAATCTCTATTTCAGTCACTTGCATCATTACAAAGAGTGGAGGGTGGTTTCTTACTTCATCACATTAGGTTTTGATAAATAGCATTTTTGAATAGAAAAAGTCCATAAAAGAGCTGGCAATGGGTGATATTTTATAACTAGAAGGAAATTAGCAGACCATCCACTTAACAAGTGAAATTTTCTGGAAGAGGCAGCCCAGGGCCTCACACATAAGTGAGTCAGGATTAATCCCCACATTTCCATCTCCTATTCTTGTACTCTTTCCTTTAACCCCAGGTGAAACACACAGATGTCTTCAGGGTACAGGAAGGCGAGGAGAACAAGATGCCAGGGTGCAGTGTGATGATCCATTCCATTTTCTTGAAGTATATTCTATTTGGGGTTTGCTGGGCTACTTATGTCTGTAAATTTATGTCTTTCACCAAATTTGGGCACTTTCCAGTTATCACTTCTGAGGTATGTTTCTATATCAGTCCTTTAACCTCCTCTTAATGAACTCCAGTGACATGACTGCTAAGAGTAAATGATATTGTCCCACAGATCCCTGAGGACCAATTATTCTTCAAACATTTTTTTCCGTTGTTTTTTTGTTTTTTTTGTATTGGATAGCTTCTGTTGATCTCTCTTCCAGTGTATACCCTTTACCCTGTCATTGTCATACTATTAAGATTATCCACTGAATTTTTTTATTTCATATTTTTCAATTCC